AGCTCCCCAGCTCCCTCCTCAGAGAGCGCCTATCGATATGTCACAGCAATTAAACTGTGCCCCGAGGGAGGGGTGGCAAGGGCAGCGGGAGCACTAGGCTGCTTGGGACAGCCACAGGCTCCTGCCCCTCTGCTGGGGGCTCCCTCGTTCCCATTCACCTTCGGAGGGTTGGCAGAGGGAAGACAAGGGAAGCATGCTCTCAAAGAACCGTCCATTCCAACTGTTGCTTTCTCCTTGCCCATCAATTCAGTCTCTCAGGGGGCAGAGGAAATGACCAGTCTGGCCTCCCTGAACTCAGTTCTGATCCCCAGTGAAAAACGGACTGGCTAACTAGAAGTGAAAAGAATCCGGGGAAAGGTCTTTGTAATATTTTAGGCCACAATAGCTAAAGCAGGGAAGGCTTGGTGCGTGGACATAATCCTTAGACTTGAGGGAAGGAGACTACCAAACATTCGGAAAAAAGTGTATAGTCATTTCTCCCTATGGCGAGGCTGAAAGTGGGACAGCTCTCACAAGAGCACCTATGATCAGGGGTCTCAGAGGACACTGAGGAGGAAGAGGCAGGGAAAGCCCCTCAGGCTTCCAGACAAGCTTTCCCCAAACGACCAAAACGCCAGTTTTAGCAGCGACAGATGAACACCCTTTTCCTCGTAGCAGCAGGCAACACAGCCTTTTGCACGCTCTGCCAGAGGAATGAGTGGTTCCTACTTTCTTTGTGTGTGGATTTGAGCATGCTGCCGTGCTTCCTGCTCGGAGCCACTTGGACCAGCTCCCCCACGAATTCCCTGTTCCCATCCTTTACCTGCTTGTCTCCTGGGCTGCCTCGGTCCTGTCAGTCCGTAAGAGCTCTGCATATATTATGACCTTGGTCCTCTGAGTGACAAACATTCCCCGCTCCCATTCATCAACCTACCATCTATCACTGATTTCTCTTAAGTTTCCTTGTCATGTGAAAGTTTTTTAGTGTTATAATATTTTTATGATGTTAGATATATTCTTTTATAGCTTCTGGGCTTCTGACTTCAGCTAAAAGTACCAATTACGCATGAATGCCACAGATTTTTCTTGCAAGAAATGTATTGTTTTACATTTAAATCCTTAATTTGCTTGGAATTTATTTTTATGAATAATGTAGGTTGAAAGTCAGCTTTTATTTTTCTCTGGTTGGAAAGCCAGTTGTACTTGTACCATATATTAAGCAGTCCACCCTTTTTCAATGAAATTCAGTTCCTCAATACATTTATCGTACAGTATTAAAATCTCACTTTTCTATTTCTAGACTATTTATTCTCTTCCGCCGACCTATTCGATGTTTTCTGTGCCTTTGCCACACTGTTCAGAGTGAAGTGAGAGGGGAGTCTTGACATTTGGCGATGCCGATAACCTTTCTAATTCTTTTTAATAGTTTTCTTGCTATTTTAAAGACATTTCTTCTTTCATATAACTTATTTGTTTAAATAATTAAACAAAACCTGTGAGGATTTTTACTTGGAATTGTGTTTTCCATATAGTATATGTAAAATTTGGGAGCACAGACATTGATGACTAGATCTTTCTGTTCAGGAAGAATGTGATCTTGCCCTGGCCGGTGGCTTAATCAATTGCAGCATCATCTCGTGCACCAAAGGGCTGCAGGCTCCATCCCTGGTCAGGACACGTGCCTAGGCTGCGGGCTTGATCCCCGGTTTGGGCACATGCAGGAGGCAACCGATCGATGTTTCTCTCTTGCTCTCGTTTCTTTCTCTGTCCCTCTCTGTCCCTCTGTGTGTGTCTCGCTCTCTTATCAATGAACATATCTTTGGGGGAGGTTTAAAATAAAAAGAATGTGATCTTTCCATTTTTTAAAAAATTATTTTTAAGATTAATTTTTAGAGAGGAAGGGAAAGAGAGAAACGTCAGTTGGTTACTTCTCATACACACCTTGACCGGGGATTGAACCTGCAACCTAGGCATGTGCCGTGAATGGGAATCCAACCTGTGAGCTTTTGCTGCATGGGACCACGCTCCAACTAACTGGCCCACCCAGCCGGGGCTGCATCCAGTCTGTTTTTTGATATTAGATCTTTAATTACCCTTTCAATATCTTTTGTGGTAGTAAGTTTATTATGGTTTCCACTTCTTACCAGTTTTAGCTATTGATATTTGGTAGAAAATTTTCTGATTCTTGTAACTTTTTGGATTTGTTGCCATTGAATATTAATGGCAAAAGAATATTAATATTCTTTTCTTTCTGTTACCCGTGGTTATGTCTCCTTTCTTATTCCTTATATTGTATTTTTGTTCTTTTCCCCTATTATTTGGAGTGATTTGCATACTTTTTCAGTTATTAAAAAAATCCAGCTTCTATCACTTTCTTCTTTCTAGTTTAGGTGCTGTTTGATACCCCAGCAAAAGAATAAGTTTTTTTGCTGAAAAAATGGTTTTTTCTTTTTCCATTGAAAACAAAGCTGCATTTTATAGCTTTTGCTGTATGTTACAGGTTCAGGTGTAATGTGCTTTTTGTTGCTTTCTAGACAATTTGTGTTTTCTAGACTTTCCTCTTTGATCCAAGGATGTACAGAATTGGTCTTTAATTTCTGTGGAATTATAATGGTTATAGCCACATTTTAACTTTTTCTAATTTTATTGATTACAATGTAACAACTACAAAATTGCTACTTGTTTGAATCATGAGTATAACTGCTATTATTCAATAATTAATCATTACTAGTTAATATTTACTTACCATTTTTCCAAGTATTGGATTGATTTTTGTATGTTCATGGATATACTACAAGAAAAAATGTTATCTATTTAAAGATTCTGTGTATAGTCTGATGATCACTTATTAAGTTCGTGATCCAATTCTTGTCTTCAGCTTTGTCTGTTAAACATGTCTAGTTCTGAGAAGTATATTAAAGTCTGTAATTGTATTTTGTTTTCAAGTTCTCTTTGAAATGATAAGTTTCTGACTTGCTTAGTTCTGTTCATCAAGGCATGGGGCTTATCATGTCTATATCCTCATAATGCATTGTCTCTTTGGTCATTACAGAATACCCCTTTGAGGGGACTTTAATGTTAAAGTCCATCCTATCTGGTATTGGCATTTCAATAGTTTTGCTTATTTTTTCTTTGCCACCCCTTTAGTTTCAGCCTTATCATCGAAGTGGGTTTGGATTTTTCTAAACACTTAGAAAAGGCAACCGATTCCTCTCCCGATAGTGACAGATCCACGGAGAGCGTCCCTTCGTTCCCACTTTGCCTGGCGTGCCTCCGTCTATCCTAACATTGCTGCTGCTCCTTTGGCTTTCCCGAGTTTTTGCTGATTTTTCTACTTGTTCAGTTTCTCTTTGGAAGTTAGGCTTTCCTCTAGATTGGCATTTTTCTGCCTCATCAGGTACATTTTGCTGTCTCAGGTGAGTTCTGAGGTTACATCCCTGTCCCCTCCCCAGAGCCAGGCACTCCACACTGATACATTTGTCCCCAGCCTCCCACCCGGGGGCAGGGTGTCCTGGAGTCGAGATCTCAGATTCCACCCATTAGCAGCCATACACAGGCGAGTTACCTACCCCTCCTTGAACATTAAAGTGCAGACAGTTGTGTGTCACAGGAAGGACTCACCGGACCATGTGTGACTCATCCAGTCGGACCCTCTCTGGGCCGATCCCTTTCCGGTGGCAGAGAGGACCTTTTTTCAGGTCTCTGACTCACCCACCTCAGAATTCCTGGAGGGAATTTCTCAAAGCAGCCTGCACCGGTCTGTCATTTCCGTGGGGCGGCAGGGACTGCACTCCCTTGTCCCCCAGGTTCCCCAAGACACTCTGTGGGGGTGTCCAGCCTTTTGGTGTCTCTGGGCCACACATTAAATACACAAACACTAATCAAGACTGATGAGCAAAACAAAGGTTTTTAGTCAATTTACAGTTTTGTGTTGGGCCACGTTCATAGCCCTCCTGGGCCACATGCTGCGCTCGGGCCGCAGGTTGGACACCCTGCCAGAGTGTTGCTGCTTCGCCTGCGAACACATAGGACATTATGCCTGGAACCCAGTTCTCCTGTCTCTAGACTGGATAAAAGATGGACATGTTCCAACGTCTCCTCTTGGCCCTCCGTCTGGCAGAAGTGCCCATAAAATAAAGCTGGAATAGGCAGGGGACAGGAAATGGGAGGGGAGACCAGACAGGCCATATCCCAGGGCCGAGGGCTGTACCCAAGGCCCACGCTTTAGCCCTCACAGGCCTCTCAGGGCTGAGAAGCCAAGGAATCTCTGGTTCAGATAATGGCTTGACTGCTGCCACCAGGTAGGTCTCGGGACTTGCCCTCTACCACCTGTGTCTCCATTTTTCTTCTCTTCTCTCACTTATTTGATAGCTAGAAGGTGGAAGTATCATAGATGATCTATTTATTTCTACGCCTTTATTTAATTTTGTGATTCTATAAAATTCTTTCCATTACGCAAAACTTTAAACTCCTTGAGGGTAGACTGGCCTTCCTGATACCCTTTCGGACCCCTACTCAAGGGTCATGGTGTTTGGCCAGGTGTCTTCTCCACCAGACTGTGGATCATGAGCGGAGGCCAGCAACCCCGAGAGCCACTGAGCTCCTTCGGCACATGTGGCACACTTTCCACTGCCTGAGTCCTGTGGCTTCACAGGCCCTTTGATGTTTGCTCTCATCACTTCATACAGACAGTCCCGTGCCCTGGCTGGGGGTGGCTCAGTCCACTGGAGCATTGTCCCCTGCATCAGAAGGTTGCAGGTTCGATCCTGGTCGGCGATGTTTCTTTCTCTCCCATTCTCCCTTTCTCTCTCTCTAAAATAAATGAAAATATCCTTGGGTGACGATTTAAAGACAAAAGTCCCATAAGTTCCCTGAGGACAGGGAAAGGGCTTTTCTGTCGGAGGCCCAGTGTCCTGCATTCTTGCTGGGGGAGAGGGGAGGCAGGTGTTTTTGGCGATACCCCCAGCCCCAAACCAGACACAGCTCTCCGTGAGTTTGCGAGTGAGAGAACACCAAACAACTCTGTTCAAAACAGTTTATTTTATTTTATTTTTTTTGTCAGACAAACACATTGATTTCTGGACCACAGTAGAGGATGGAAACCTTTCACAAACTTATTTATTTGAAAATACAAATATAAAATTATACTTTCCACATCTGTGATGTGAGAGACTGCCATCCACATAGTAATTTTTTACAACAGGGCTTTAAGAAAGCCACACACAAAGACCTGAAAGATGCTTGAGATATATATATATATAGATACATATATATGTATATATATAAAAAAAATACTCACTACCAAAGTTGTCATCAGTTTCATACTAAAGTATAAAAGTAAGGGTGAGGTCAGCCACAGTGCTAGGGAGAGTTTTATTTAGATACATTGATGTCCACATGAAACGCTTAGACTTGCATCCTATTACATATGGAATTCCGAGTTTACAACACACCATGAACGGCAGATTGGCTAGCCCACTCTACTCAAGAGGACACTCACAGATTCCACACGGGATGGTACAGTATGTACAGATACGGCAGCAGAGCGCCTGCTGGGGAGGCTCTGGAACTTTCGTCTCGCAGTCCCCATCCCCCGCTCCTGCCCCTGCTTCCTGGGAATGAAATCCTGGCCGAGACGATACATTCTGATTATAGTTTTGAGAGCCGAGTGTTTGGATTAAGGTTGCTTCCCCAGAGGGGTGGGTTTTATCCGTATTTCTTTGTGTGTTAGTTTACTTACTTTTTTTTTTTTTTTGGTTAAAAAAAAAAAAAAGAAAGAAAAAGGAAACAAACACATTACAGTATTAAAGTATTGCTTAACGTACAGCGTTTCCTTGTGTAGTGTCTGCCCAGGTCCGGGCTGAGCTGACTTCTGCTTCTTTGCTGCTCAGGGTAAGGGTGGGGGGCCCGCCAGTGTCTGTTCAGTGTGCTTGCCTGCATCTGTCCCTATGCTCCCCCTTTGCTTTTGCCTTCCTGGGAAGGTAGTCTGGCTGGTGAAGCACATTCAAGAAAAAAAAAGCCCTCCCCTCCCCACCCAGCCCCCTGTCTCCCTCTGTCCCTGCATGCCAGTCCCAACCAATAAAGAGAAGGATGAGTTAGTGTTTCTTTTGTAAACAATTTCATATGCAATATAATACAGAAAGCATGGCTGACCTTCAATAAAAAAAATGTAGTAAACTATATTGCTTTATTTCCGATGATGCTGCAGTGAGTGAATGGCAGAATGAAGCAGTGTGGTGGTGGCTAAGTCCCTAGCCCTCGTTTGCACTAAAGATCAAAATTTGGGTTTTGTTTTTCTATTTGGAACCCAAACAAATTTCTTCTCAAAATCCCCAAATGAAAAACAACCAAAAAAAAAAAAAAAAAAAAGATCCCCCCAAATCAAAAGAGAACTGAGAACAAAAAACTGAACACCTTTCAGGTCATTAGAACCGACAATTACCCAATGATTTTTATCCTAGTCTAGTAAGATGTGTGTAACACTCACTGGCTGTGCGTTGCTGTGCAGTGAGACATTAAATTGACAGCAGCAGAGCCATGCTACCTTAAAGTCCAAGCTACGAGTTCAAATCAAGATGAAGGTTATGAAGGAAGAATAGAAACGCCAAGGCCTTGTCAGGGCTTCGTTTGAATCAAGCCAGTGAGCGACTGGGACAGAGTGAGAGGCTGTTTGGTTTTCCCAGTGGGTGTGAGGGAGGCTGCAAACCAGGTGCGCAGAAGCTCCTGGACGGGATGCCAAGAGCTCGGTCACCCCCGCCCGCTCCACGTCCAGGCAGGACCCAGGATGGGTCCAGCAGCCAGTGCCCTCACTCTCCTCTGCTTGGGAGGAGAGGAGTTTGGGGGTCCCAGGCAGATGGATCTGGAAGCCAGAAAGTCACCCGGTGGCTCTTTTATGATTCCGGGGAAAAGCCATCAGCCGAGAGGGTTTCTCCCTGCAGGGAAGGTGAAAGGTGGTTCCCGAGTTCGCCATTGAGCTGAACCGAAACTGAGACAAGGCCGAGTGTCAGTGCGAACACAACTTACAAAAATCTTTCCAGATGGACTTCTAGGTGGGTGGGGGGACTAACGTGAACCTTGACTTAGGTAGCCACATTAAAACGTGTCAGATTTCCACGAGGTTTGTGCTATGGGGCTACTGGGCCTCCTCAAAAGGTATTAGAAACATCTAGAACATACACAGATTATCAGTTTCTTCTGAGCATTCTTAAAAAAATATGTTTTTCTCTTAGTAAAATCATTTTAATATACCATGCCTCCCTCTTTTAAAAAATAAATTAAAAAAATCCAGTTTTGCATATCTAGCGTTAGCATTTAAGGTAGTATGGCACACCCCTTCACAGCTGGGGGGGGCGGGAAGCTACAAAATGCCGTCGAGTCTGCCGACGTTGGAACATCGTGAGACCTTGGGTTAGTGGAGACCACATCAGATCAGCGAAAAAGAAAATTAAAACTTGAAATTGAAAACAAACAAAAAAAAATTGAAAGGAAAAAACTGCCCCAAAATCATTAGCATTTTTTTTTCCATAAATAAGAGAAAGTTCTATCCTTACTGGTCCTAAATCTGAATAACTATGTCTAAATTTTTAAACCTTAATTACGTTATACCTATGAATATGTACTAGAAGAAAGAGAAGAAAAAAAGTCACTACACTAGTACCAGGACAGCACGCTTACAAGATAGCCATTTTATACATTATTAACAGACAGCGGTCAACAGAGGGGCTTCTAGGAGGTGACGGGGAGCGGAGAAGGGCGGGGTGTACAGCGACATCACCGGCACGGACGGGTGGTAGTCAGATTCCCTGGTCTAGACACCGAATTTCCGGGAATTTACTGCCTTTTTCTTTCTTTTCTTTCTTTCTTTCTTTTTCTTAAAAGAAAATGTCTATTTTGTTATTTTATCACCTTGAACACGTTTGGATATTTTAAAAGCGCCTTTTTTCTTAACCTGGTCTTTTGGAAATTAAAAAAAAAAAAAGAAAAACAACAAAAAAAATCTCACCCAACAACCTAATCTTTTATTGGAAAAAAACAAAGAACATGATTATTTTTAAATGGTGGTGTTTGATTAGAATTGAAAAAGGCTTCCTTCTCGCTCTCTGAGTCAGCAGTTTGGAGCCTTTCATCTGAAGATGCACTTGAGCTACCATGTCCGTGAACGTCTGTCTACATTAGTCTACTTTGTTAGTAAAATTTATAAAAATAGGAGCAGCAGCTCTTTATAATAAATGTCGCGTTCAGTGTCTCATACTGGCTGTGCCTTAAGTACCAAATTTATAAACGTAACAATTTAAAAAATATTAATAAAACGGCAATATCACATTTTAAAAAAGAAAAAATATATATCCACACTACAATATGTTTTAATGCCATCTATTGAGTTGTACTTCTACAGTTGCTGTTGCCGGCCTATTTATTACCAATATTAAAAAAAAGTTAAATTAAAAAATATCCTTCATCATAAGTATCTCTCCCCAACTGAGGACCATATATTATAACAGCCAAATGTTAACATGTGCAAACAGGAGACTGTCAGTTTTTCCCACCAGTCACAGTGCAGCGATGTTTATACTTTTTATTTTTAAAATTCTGTTTACATCTACAATAAATTAAAAAAAAATTCTTCCATAGCCTCTCTGGTGATACTTGCAGCACTGAGGTATTAAAAATAATATATAAACCAAAAGGTTTGCTTTCCTAATTTGTAAATAGAAAGTGAATGGAGAAAAGGTTTCATTGATGCAGGCTTATCCACTCCCGGCCTGGGAGTCCCCAGAGTTGGGGGCAGGTGAGGGGCAAGAGGAGAAGAGAGGCAGAGGGTCCTAGGGACCTTTGGAGGTGCTGAAATGATTGGACAATAGAAAAATGATCAAATAGTTAAAAATTAAGACTGAAAAAGGATGTCTTCCCCACCCCTCCCTACCCAAGCCTAACAGGTGTGCTTTGAAACTTTAAATATGTTAAATATTAAAATTGTAGCTTTGTTTTTAAAAAAGTCTTGGGAAAAGCAGTTTTTCGCATTTTAAATAAAAATCTAACTAGACGGTAACGTTTGGAGCTGTGCACAGACGGGAGGTCAGCACGCGGGTGCGGCACTGATAGAGTGTTAGGTCTACCACACAGGCGGCGGGGGGCTGGGCGGTCTCCTCACGCCCCCCAGGGTCGTCCTGGCAGCTGGGCGGTCGGCAGTGTCCGCGACTCGCTCCGTTCGCGGTTCGCGTTCCTTTCCCTCCTCCTTCCACAGAGCATCGCACTGCCTGGGACCGACTCCCTCACAAAAATATTTTTGATTCTCTCTTTCTTAATAGTTTCTATGTAGTTAATGGAATTGTATTTACAACATTTCTTTTTTTTTCTTAGAATTCACAATTTCAAAAAACCTTATAATATCACCTCTTTCAACAGAAAAAAAGCACTTATAGAAAAGGAGGACACGCGAAACGTGGGCGTCCTTACCTTATTGCCGAAAATAGATATACTTAGGTTAACAAAGAGACATCACACAAAAAGGGCTGCTACAGTCTGCTCTTAGCCTACGACATCCCACTTTTACACAACGCAAAGCAGAACGGGGAAGCCCACGCCCCTCCACGCGTCACAGCTGCGCTTTCCCGGTGTGTTCCAGTCGCACGTGAAAATCCACACAGTCTCGGAATTGGTACCAAAATATTGAGAGTAATATTACCATCTCAGCATCCTTTAAAAGTGAGAACAGAATCAAAACGAGCAAAAAAAAAATTTTTTTAAGAAGAAAATAATACCTTAATATAACAATTATACTATGGTTAGCTTTTAACTAGCTATTAAAGCTATATGACTACTGGACTAAGTCAAAATCACTACTAAATGTGATTCAAAGAGATTTCAAAGGAGAAGGGGCGAGAGAGAAGGGGAAGGGAAACCATCGAGAAAAACAAAAACAAAGCAAAACCAAAATCATGGGTTATATACACAGTTAAAAGCTGTTGTCTTATATTACAGCAGACCCGCGAGATGATGAGATGTGGGCAACCCTCGATCCGAAGTGAGCCATCTCTGGTCGGGATGGGGAGTGAGGCTGGCGGGGGTCCAGGTCCGATGACGTCACCTAAACAAAGGGCCACTCAGAAACTTCGCCCAGTCTTGCCTGGACATCCAGGGATGCTCTGCAGGGCACGGAGGGTCGAGGTGCCCCGGAAGAGAACGTCCAGGAGAGGGGTGGGAGGAGAAAGAAGAAGTGTGAGGCAAGTGTCCTATTTATCCCAGCTTTTCAACTTGCACTTTCTAACTTCGACTACGTGGGGCTACTGAGCATATGCAACGGGGCCTGGCTAGCAGCTTGCGGGGGCGGCTGCCTCCATACGGTACTGTTGGATCCTTGAGGCTGTGGCAGGAAACAAGGCCAGCGAAGGTGGTCGTGTGGAGTTTTTGGCTAGACAGGTGGACCGCACACTGACCAGCAATGCCTTCTCTGGTTAAGCTTCTGCTCTTGAGACCAAAGTGTTTTTTTTTTAAAAAGTCTGCCTTTGTTAGATACACATCGAAGATGGTCAATAACTGAAAATGCAGATTTCTACTGTAAAGGATCATATTGCACATAAGGAGTCAAGGTCGGGGCATTTACTGAACCGCCCACGACAAATAACCAGCTGTGGTTACAGGAAATAAAAACAGGCCCAGGAGTTACAGACTTGCTACCTGCGTCTCCCTGAATTACCTGTGAGCCTGGGCCCCTCGGTGACATGTGGCACCGAAGTGTGTGTTTTGGTGTGGTCACGTGGCTCTATTGGCTCACTTAATCCGTTCTGGAGGGGGCTGGGGAGTTAGCTCCACTTTGTTTTTTTTCATCCTTTTGAGGAAACTGAGTCCCAGAGCTGGATAAAGGAGGGTGGGCCGGGAGCAGCCTTGCCCCTCACCCACCCTCATGGAAAGGCCCTGCAGTGGCCTTGCAGGGCATGGGACTGTGGCCCGAAGCCCTATACCACCCTCATTTTCCAGGGAGGGTGGGTGGGAGCCAGTGGTCCCCCCAGCATCTGCCACACCTGGCGGTTGCTGGAGCCCTTCATCATGTCACTGCACAAAGGGTGGGAGCCACCTTCCATCCCCAAAGTTCCCGCACCTCTCAATCCGCCTTGTTGTCTGAGGAGCCTGGGGTCCCCCGGGGCCCTAACCTTGGCTTGGTTAGCAGTGAGTAGCTCTCCTTCAAACTGTTAGTGGCCTCTGGCCCCAGCCAGCGACGGCTGGGCCAGCGCTTGAAGGGCAGTGGAGGCGAGGGGTGGGGGGAATCCACACACGGGTTTATTGGGTTAAGAGAGGTAGCTGAGTTAGTGGAGGGGATTCCTTAGCAGCAACATTAGAGAAATCCAAAAGAGGTATTTATGGAGCTCAACTCAACTTGGTCCCCACTCCTCAAGAGAGGTCTCCTGCGGACTACAAACTAAAGTGGCAAGCCCACCCCCAGCCTGGTTTCTCTCAGGTCCCAGCTCCCAGAGTGACAGGCCCCAGGTGGCATTTTCCGAGTGGGACCCCTTTCCAGGCTTCTCTTTCACCCTCCCTCTGCCAGAGACACACCGTGTTTCCACCCCAGAACTAACCTATTGCAGGGCACACTGCAGCTGTCCCGAGAGAACCCCCCTCATCCTGTGCGTTTCCGAGAACGACACATACGCCTTTCCCAATGAGAACATGACGAGGGCACACTCACTGACTGCCCCAACCTCCCTGTCCTCCACTCCACCCCTTACGTATCCCAGTCAAAGTGATTTTAAAAATGTTTAATTAACTTGAGCTCAGTTTAAAAGGTTAGGAAACTGGCAGGGATCCAAATCCATGTTATGCAGGTGATATCGTTAATTCAATTTGCTTTTTGAGCAGTAATCTGGATAATTACTCAGTAGTTACTGGCAAAAATGTTTTCTTTTCACTAAAAGTTGCAGTCTGGCTGTTTGACAGCAGGAAGCCCATTGGCTGAATCCAGGGTGTTCTGGGGAGCTGAGAGCCCCAGCGCCCCCCCAGGTCCGCTGTCCGGGGCCCTGCGGGGAGGCCGGGCCCCACCCACAGCCCTGGCAGAAGCCCAGCATTTCCCAGCCTCCGACCCCCTGGGACGGGCACACACTAGATCTCCTTCCAGTTTCCCACACTCTTGATTGTATTTCAAGACAAAGAAAGATGAGGGGTGAGGAAGATAAAGAAAAGGAATCAAAAGAACCAAACCGAGAAAAAAAAAAAGACAGTAAAAAAATTAAAAAAAAAAAAAAAGTGGGGGCCATGATTAAAGTTGGAGAAAGGAATGAGAGAGTAGAAGAGTGGATTTCTTTTTGCCCCCACCCCCCCGAGAAGGGGTCCAGAAAGAGGACAGAGACTGACGTGACGAGCCCGGGGCGGCGCGCACGGCGTGCCCGGTGCGCTCACAAGCAGGGACGCGCCTGGCAGGGCGGAGACGCAGGGCAGAGAAGGTAATACCTCAGAGTGGGATGGCAACGAAAGCACCTGCTCAATGGTATCCATTTGTAAAGGCCGTTGCAATCAAAGGTCCCTAAAATTGCACAATTGTTAAGGTCATCAGCACGCTATACATGGGAACAGATTGTCACATTCTGGGAGAGGAAATTATGTCTAGGACTAGCCTGTGGTTGCCAGCATGAATATGTAATTCTGAGACACTGTGCCCTGAGGGGCCAGGATGGCACCCTCTCCAGCTCTGAACCCTCCAGCCCCCACTCCCCACCCCAAGCCTGTCTTTGTGCCCAGGGGAAAATTGAGAGCCAGATTCAGAGGGGTAGGCGGGTGATGGCAAAGGGAAGGGGGGCGCTTATGCCCAAAATGAGGGGCGCTGTTGCCCTGAAGCCCTGGAGGGCTAAGATAACAGTGTCTCTGTCCACAGGCCGCACGGCTCCAGCTGGGGAGAAAGCCATCCCTGTGCAGGCAAGACGTGACTCGGCGTGGTCATTTCTGAGGACCGTCACAGCACACGGGTCAAAGACCCAGGTTTTCAAGAACACACAGGGCCTGTGTTTCTGGGTGCTGCAAATGGAAATGAGTTGTGCTCTACATGGTGATAGGTGGTCTTCCAAACTGATGTAGCCCTCAGCTGTGTTGGATAGTCTGGATTTGGTACTGCAGAGGATCAGAGGGGATCTGACCCAACAGCCTACTGACTGAAGTGATACTGGCTTGGGAGTGGAGCTGAACAAGGATCCAGATGGCAGAGGTCAGGGCTGGGAGATGGGAGTGAGTGTGTGTGTGTGTGTGTGTGTGTGTGTGTGAAGGGGGGGTGGTCTCCAGTCCGGGGGGGCAGGAATCCAGGGGCCCTGGTGCCCCAGACTGTCTGCACTTGCGCTGTTCTCCCCAGCGCAGCCCCCCGAGACGGGGCTCCCTTGACAAGGACAGGACCTGAGACAGCAGACACTCCCATCTTAGCTCAAAGCCAAAGTGTCCCCAGAATGCTGGGGCTGGCCAGGGCAGAGGTGGGCCGAATTGGTTTCCCAAATGGAAGGAGCAGCGAGCGAGTGGGCTCAGGCACATTCATGCTCACACACACCGGGAGGGGAAAGAACAATACAATCTGAAAACAGCATGCAAATCTGTTAAGCAAATTTCTATGGCCTGGATTAGTCAGATTATAGAACCACAGAGCATTACAAATACCAAATGCATCTGGCCTTGGGGGGCAGGGCACAGCTAAAGAACACAAATGGGAACTTACTTGGAACCTGGGAACTAGGACACATTAGCCAAGGAAACCTTCTTGGGAGGGGGCTTGCACCCCATACCATGCCCTAGGCGCCAGCCCCTGCCCCTGGTCCTCAGGCCTGGGGACTCTGCCCACTAAGGTTGCTGCCCTGAGTGAGGGGCTCCGAAGGTCTGAGGTCCCAGCCCATGTGACAGTCTCCAGAAGGCAGAGATCAAGGAGCAGGGGCTGATACTGAGGACCTACTATGTGCCACCAGGTGACATACTCTATTTCCATTCATTCTCAGTCTTTTGAGAGAAGCATACTTATTTTCGTCTTGCAGCCAGGGAAGGGATGGGTGCACAATGCCCACCTATGTGGTTCAAGGTTGCATGAGCTGAAGGTGAAGGAGTGGGTGCTCTGAACCTGCCCTGCCCATGCTCCTTCCACTCCATCACGTGGCCTGGCCCACAGGAGCCCAAGGAACATCCAAATGGAGGAACTTCAGCCCTGGGTGGCTGAAGGGATGGGGACCCACTGCCATCTCCTTGGCTCCCAACGCTGGGCTTTCCTGGCACACCCTCCCCATGGGCCACAGACGATGGGCAAGGAAGAGGCAGGAGAACAGAGGAAGGCAGGTACTTACAGCTATGCCGTGGCCGAAGCCGGAGCCCGGCTGTGGGCTGGCCGCGCTTATGTAATTCCCCACTCCGGAGTCCTGGCTGGCAGGGCCGTAGAGATCGGCGACAGGTCCTGGGCTGTTGGCCCCCGGGAAGCCTCCGGGCCGCGCCGGGTTGGAGCCTGCCGGGGAAGCGGGCGCGCCAAAATTCGGTTGAGCACTGTAGCTATTCAGGACTGGTGTGCAGAGAATAGAGCTGGGTATGAGGCCAGAAGCCAGGCATGCACCGGTCATTACAAGCCAAACACTCGAGAAAAACAGCTGAGGCCCAACTTCTAACACTCAACCAAGGCCATGCGAAAACATCAGCAGGGACTCAAGAATACTCAGCCCAGGCTACTACTAAGAAGCTCGGAGCTCCAAAAATATAGAGAATAAAAAAACAATCATTCAACACACTACGGCAACCAACCGGAGGTGCTTCACTGCCCACCAAGTTATCACAATAGAAATAGAGATATATATGGAAGAGAGAGAGAGAGGTTTCTGTTCACATCTGAACTGATGCTCATGCAGTCTTGTCTAGACCTGGGCACGTGGAGACAGCATTCACATCCCATGCAAACTACAAAGGAACTAGTTTTAGACTACACATTGTGTTAATATTGATATTAAAACGTGACCGGAAACAAAGCGACTTGAGTCGAGGAAAAAAAAATCTTTGGGGATGGGATTTTTGATTTGTTTGTTTCACTTTTTTTTTTTTTGTTCATCTTTGGATCCATTAAATGACAAATTTGTTTTTGTTTTTGTTTTTTTTAAAAGGACAAAAAAGATGTCCATTTTCCAGCACCCCCCCCAAACCACTTCCCCCCTCCCCACTGGCTACTCCCTCCCCTCCCCCCTCCCATTTGTATCCCTGCATGAAAGTCGTCCACATTGAACGTGGTCGGAGGATGGGATATGTCATGGAAAATCTGGGCATCTTGACAGAACCATAATGATGGTGGCAGAGGGTTCCCTTTTGGGGTGGAGAGCAGGGGATGGAGAGAGGGGATGGGGTTGGGATGGCAGATCTGGAGGCTGGGGCCGAAGCTGGGTGAATGTCAATGATATTCCATAGGACACCCACACACTCACCTCCTGCAGTAGAAGGAAAGGGGGGATTTAAACTTTTTTTTTCCTTTCGTTTTAAAAAAAAAAAGACAAAGAAATATGAATGCAAAGCATACTGACCGAACCAATTTATTGCTAAAGCATATCTGATCAAAATGCCTGCTTCCTGTTAGTTATCTTCAGATATAAACTCTAGACCAAGAAGAAGAGCTAGGAATGCACCTTTGCTATAGCGGGTGGGATATTCACGCCCACTGACCCCCCAGAGTGGTGGGGGGTGGGGCAGCAGGAGGAAACACAGCCTGGGTGCCCCACCCTGAACCCCCCCCCCCACAGGTTCCACAGCTGCCAACCAGGCTAATTTAGCCTCGTCTTCATGTCCCCTTAGTAGCTTAAACATTTTCTTTTCTAGAGGGAAAAACACACATTTTTTTTTTTTAATTGCAAAAGTAAGTACTCAACGATTTTTAAAGCTCAAGGTGAGTCTGGGGCTGGCCACTTCTGGGCTCCGCAGGGCGGCTCCTGGCAACCACCTTCTCCCTTCTCCCGCCTCAGCACTTCCTTCTCTGCCCTGTGACCAGTTGCCCTCCATGGCAGAAGGAAAGAAGGATGAGCAACTCCCCTCCTGACCATGGCCTTGCCCTAGGAGCTTGGGGTTGCAGCCCCCCACTTCTGGTGGGTCCTGAAGAGTCAGAAGTGAATTGATCGTTCTCTACCTGTTGCAGGGATGGGAAGGGACGGACTGTGCACCCAGCCCAGACTGGTGGGAGACTAAGATGGGACAAGAAGATGCAAAAGAGACCAAACCAAGCTGGGCTGGGCTCCTGACTCAGCAGAGACAAGGGAAGCTGCTACCTAGGGTGCCCTCTGGGGCAGGAGACCCCAAAGTGAGACCCCCCTGGAAGCTGTAGCTGAGAGATGCATAAACTGGCTGATGAAAAGAACGGGTTAAAGAGCAGGAAAATCACAGAGGCTTAGAACAAATAAGCGGCTGATTTGGGAATGCTCGGGCAGACCAAAGGGACGAGATTTTTGAATATAGAAGATTAAGCTTGCAGATAACATTTGGCCTTTCTCACTCATGGAGGCAAATATCAAGCCGAGATGTTCAAAAGGTGGAATTATCTTGGCCTAACACACTTTTTTCCTCTGGGCTAGGGAAAATGGAGAGAGTTCAGGCAGTGGACTCCTGGTTCACCGGGGCAGCTGACCCCCTCCTGGACAAAGTAACTAACAAGTACAGACTCGCTTGTTCTGTTTCGGGGGTCGGGGGGCCACAACAGATGACAGTGGGCAGGCTCAATGATGTCAAAGCTGGGCTGGGGAGCAGGGAGCTTTTTGTCCTGGTGCCTCCAGCAGGGGAGACCCATGGAGACCAACGCAGCCAGCAGACACAGCCTCGGGGACGAGACGCAGCATGCCCACGGGAGGGGTGGTGCAGAAGCAGCCCCTTCACAGGCTGGGGAGACAGGCTGGCTGGTGGTACCCTGCCCATCCCTGGCTACCTCTCCCAGTCCTGCGTGCCCAGGCCTGTAGCTTAAAAGTCAGTCTGAGGAAAATGTCACAATAAACAGCTCTTCTTAGGCCAGTGTTGCCCGCCCCTGCTTAGTTGTCTTCTATCAAATGACTCTGAAATCACTGTGGAGAGGGCGCTGAATAGAATGCAGCTTTAAAACCTTCAGCCCCGTATTTTCATACACAGCTGCTCTTCACAATGCCTGGCCCCAGCTCAGTCATTTTGTAAGTGTTCTGCAGCCAGAGGCGAAAGGTTAGGCTGTGGGTCCCCGCCAGAGGGCGCCGTCACAGGCAAGCAGCAGCCAGTTCTGGGCTGGCCCCCTTTCTCCAGGCTTCCGGGCAATGGAAGCTGCCCTGCCAATGGCTGGGGGCATGGAGGAGCCGGGCCTGTGTTCCAGTCAACAATTCCCTCTTTCTCTCTCCGGGGGCAAAAGACGCAGGCTCCAGAAAGCACATTAAAAGTCCCCAAACAAGCCATCTGGAAACCTGTGCCTCTCTGGAAAGGCTCATAATGAACAAACTGTGCTGGCTGCTGGGGAGAGACTGGGGACTGCCCCCCGGCAGGCCAGCTTCTCAGAGGCTGCCCCCCTCTCCCTCCAGGCTGTGACCCCCTGACCTGAGGGCGATTTCTGTGCAGTCACCCTCCGTGTTCTGTCTTGGTGGAGGGCCCCTTTCCCCGAGAACCAAGACTCATTTAGGAAAGGGGATGGAGCATCATTCTGCATGCACATGGGCACCTTGCTACTGCTCAGCCCGGAGAGGCATCGGTACATGCTGCTGAATAAAAAAGGGTGCTACTATTTTGAAATGGGACATGAGGACTATCTCAGAAGAGGACGATGTCTTGTAAGCACATTGGCGTGGCTGTAGCAGAAGCTGTGAGTGGTCAAGGCCAAGTTCTGCACTAGGCCGGCAGTCTGGGGGCTGGCTGCGGGGAGGAGAGTTGCTTCTCCATCAGCAGCTCTAGGTGGCACCCACGCCAGAGGTTTAATCCTGGGTGGGTTCCTCCTCACCCCTCGCCCCTGCTCCAGCAGCATCCTCTGTGCGTTATCCATCCAGCCTCTGTGGTCAGGATGCAGCTACAGTGGAGATAGAGGGAGCACTGGAGATAGAGGGAGTCAGAAGACCTGAGTGTGACCCCGGCTCTGACCTTGGTGTTGGCCCCTCACCCGTCAGAGTCAGCATCTGTGAGTGCTGCCTGCCTTAGTCTGACTCTGGGGACGGAGGGGGGCGGGGCGGAGGAGAAGAGAAAGCCCTCTGGTAACTTATCAAGTTTAAAACAAATACACCCCTTTCTAAAACAGTTGTATATGCAGAGCCCAACAAAGCAGGTACCAGATGCAGATTTAGGAAAATCTGATCTAGGAAAAAACAATTCACTTGCCATACAAATCAGAAGGTGGTTTACAAAAGGATCTAACTCGTCTACCCGGCGCATTTAATCACCTTGGATTTGAATGAAGCATTCAGGGATGTGGGGGCAGGAAAGCAGGGACACCACATCTCACTGAGGCCAGCAAGAGGAAGCACGTTTGAATTACAGCTGGAGGCATTTTGCATCAAATTGAAGAAGGAGCTTCTTATCCACCAAGGGGATAAAAACCACCCTGACCCAGCAAAGCCAGGGAATCTTCTCCCTGAGTGAGACCTTGGCCAAGGTCTATCCTGTAGGCTGAGACCCCCCTAGACTCACTTAGGTCCAAATCTCTGGGCGCCTTTGTCCCCGGGGTTTTAGCATGAGCCTAGGAGACAACTGCCTTCCGGCGGGCACACGGTCTGCCCAGTTGGGGTCAGAAGGAGCTGGGCTGAGAGTGGAATTAGTTATGGGGGCAGGGAGGTCATGTGAGAGGGTGGTCAGAGTCAGAACAGCTGCACTGTGGGTCTAGGAAAGGTATGGGAGTCCAGATATTTCTATGTGATCCCTGCGTGACGCCACTGGATCTGGGTAGAAAGCTAGAGCCCAGGAATGTGATGGGGCACCCCTGGGTGGGGCACCTCCGGCTCTAAGGCCTAAAAAGTGGATTATTACTGATCCAGAGAAAGGAGCTGTTTACGAAGTCCTTTCCAGATGCATTTACCTGGCATAAGTCAGGGCCCTGCCCAGCCCCAGCCTTTGACCCAGGTCTTCCTTTGGGGGCATCTTGCAAAGGGCAGGGCCAGCCCTCAGGACGATTTCAATCATCTGCTGTGAGGATTATCTGCTGCTGCCAGGTTTAATCCCGGACAGGAGGCCCTGTGGGACCTGGCGCATTTCTGGAACAGAGCATGTATTGCTGCTCAGGGCAAGGCCAAGGCAACAGAGGGTCCTCACCAAGTCCACTTTGGAAGGCAGCGCGCATCCCGGGTAGGGCAGGAGGGCGCTGGGGCTGAGTGGTGCCCTGACCCCCATTCCCAACCATGGCCCCTGCCACAATGGAGGGTGGGAGCATAAGCCCACATACTGTTCTTTGAGGCCAGGGCTGTTGTGTTAACTTATCACACTGGTTTTTTGTTGTTGGTTTTAGAGAATTAAAAGACGGACTGAAGAAGGAATGAGCAGAGGGGCTCTGTCGCAGAGAAGAAGCGGTCAGAGTCACTGTCCCCTCCAATGCTCGCCTCCCTTTTC